CTGAATTCACAGACTCCTCAGGTCTGAGACCCAGAACAAGATCTCTCTGTCTCTGCATCCTCTGTGTCACAGTGACCTTTCCAGGCTGTCATGTCTGAAGAGTTATATTCTACTCCGAGACTCGGTTGTGTTTCTAAACTACGATCAGTTCTCAAAGCGATTAGAATTTCTGAAAAAGCCAACAAACAAGACGTGTTCGAACAACACTTTGATAAGTCACAGCAATGAGCTATGCCAACCATTGGCTGACTTATCTGATAAGCCCAGGGCAACCCTGAGGTAACCTGCAGATGGCCGGCCTCTGGAGTTGTACACGTTATTCCTTCCCTAGGAGAGATACCACAGCTCCCCCACACTGCCTGGGTCACCCCTCTAACAACGTCTCGCCTTGCGGGTCAAAGCTGATGTCTCTCTCACAATGCCGTGCCACGCCTACCTATGCAGCTTCCCAAGCCCCAATAACCCCCTCCCCGCCCCCTGCCCCCTGAATTCCACAGCAGTCTAACCTTCTGTGGCAGGTGTAAGGGCAAGTTACGCCACTGTCTGCCCAGCAAATCTGCGTGTGCGTGTGTGTGTGTGTGTGTGTGCGTGTGTGTGTGTGTTTTGGGTCATACCCAGCAATGCACAGGGATTACTCCTGGGTTTTACACTCAGGTGTTGCTCCTGGCAGTGCTTGGGGGACCATATGGGATGCTGGAAATCGAACCTGTGTGCAAGGCAAGTGACCTCCCAGCTGTACTATCGCTCCAGCCCCTCTGCTTTTATCTTAAGCAGAATTTTCTTCTCCCTGTCCATGAGGCAGTGAAGTCATGAAATGGCCCCATTAGGACTGCCTTCTGAGAACACCCAGCTCACCACGGCCACACAAATGTGTGTGTGTGTGTGTGTGTGTGTGTGTGTGTGTGTGTGGAAGGGGAGGTAGGAGGGAGAGAGAGGTTCCATGTCCAGCCTTCCTTCAGTTCTTCCTATCTCAGACTCTGCTTGAAAACAGAGCTAATGTTTAACCCAATGGTCCACCCTGAATTATGGACCCAACAAAACTATAATAGTGTCCCACAGAAAAAGGCACCAAGCTCACATGCTCTAGATGGCCGAGATCATGTGGATAAAGGTGCTACTTCTCTATCGCATTTCTTTCCCCCCAGAAAACCACATGATCCAGTACCTAACTTCAAAAAGAGACAAAAAAAAAAAAAAAATCCAAGTGAGTTTTCTCCGTTTCGCAACTGGGCTGCCCGGGGAGTTTAGCTCCCGACTCAGAAAGGGAAATCTCGGCTTTGGATTTCCTTTGCATTCTCTTTGTTTCGAGAAATCCTGCCAAGTTCTTTCTGGCTCAAGACTTCCTAAGAGAAAGATGACAAGTGAAGGGAACTTCTCAATGAGGAAATTCCCAATCCTTTCAGAACTCCACTCAGAGGCCACGAGGCAAGGGGCAGGCGACATGTATGCGCGTCTGCGAGGCCCTGGGATGGAGCAGCCCACAGGTATGCTCTGCACCCCTGGAGCAAAAATTAAGGTGCATGGGAGGGGAACCCTCGACTGCATAATTTTAGACTCAAGGTCTCTGAGCCGCGCTGGGTACCAGTGATGGGGCTGGTCAAGTGGATGCTCATGCAGACTCGAGGGACACATGGTAAGTTCTAGAGGTGCCTCATGAGTGTCAGCAGCAGCTGTGCAGATGTAAACTGGATGCAAAGTAACGTTCCATGATCTCTGTGCTCAGGAATGGGACCAGACTGCATGCGGTGTGAGGGGGTCCAACTGGTGGTGGCTGTTTGTTTGCAAAGCAAATGCCACCACCCTGTCTGAGGCCTCTGACCCACGGTTCGACCACCTCGACTTGGCAAGGCCCAGACCGGGGGTCAAGAAGGCAATTCTCTTTCCGACTCCCAGAAAATACTCTTGTCCAAAAAATACTCCCAACATCTTTCAATTCTTGAACACTTGAGTCAAAGCAGGTTAAAAAAAAAAATAATAAAACAAAAAGGGCTGAAGCGATAGCACAGTGGGTAGGGCGTTTGCCTTGCTCGCGGCTGACCCGGGTTTGATTCCCAGCATCCCATGCGGAACCGAGTACCGCCAGGAGTGATTCCTGAGTGCATGAGCCAGGCCAGGTGTGACTCAAAAAGCAAAAAATAAAAGAAAAAGGAAACAAAGGAAAAAGAAAACCCTACCTTCCCATTCCACCCAACAGTAACAACAACAACAACAAAAAAAAATCCCCACAAACACTAAACCAACTCCTTAAGCCAAGCAAGGTGAATCTAGCTGACTGTCATTTTGACCTTGCTTGGCTTTCATTCGGGAACCTATTTAGAAATGTAACAAGCAACGCTCTTCACTCGGCTCAGCTAGCAGAGCTAATAGGCTTCTAATTAATTTCCAGAAGATTGCTGTTATAACTAACAGGTTTTAAACATTTGGTTGATTGGGGAAAATGAATTGAATATAATGTATTTGATTTGGAAAATTAGTTTTCATTCTATGTGCTTACCATAATAGTGTTTATTTTAAGTTTACATGATTCCATTAAGAGTCCCAGAAGCCCACCGGATCGGTCTGCATCCTTACAGAGCCCTTTCCAAATTTCAAAAGAAGAAAAAAAAATCAATTTACATTTTGATTTTTGTTGGCCTTTATTTGAGGGCAGGTTCAATTCATTTCTTGTGGCTTTAGTGGGGGTTGGGGGGGGCAGAATGTGCTCTTGTTAATATAGCAAGAGGCTCAAATACTTCAAAATGATCCTTGGATAGCTCGGTCAATAGTTCCCTCATCGAATGCAAATCCTCGGGAGAAAAGGCTGGTGCCCACAAAAGTAAGATGAACCAGTTCCAGCATTGTTTGTCGGGCCATCCTTGATTCCTCCTGACAACCATTTAAACAATGAATGTTGGGAAAGTCCCTTGAGAATGGCCCACGATGGCAGGGTTCTGGGCACTTTTATTCACCTAAGACTGGTTTTTTTTGTTGTTGTTTTTTTTGAAAAAAGGGGAAAATTCTTCTTCCTGAAGGGATTATGGGAAGGACTATTAAAGAAACCTGCAAATACAACAAGTGACAACGGCTTTTTATTGGCACTGATAACTCAGTGTTATGTTCTGAAACACTGAAACACGGCCTGGCTCGGTGGGCTAAGTCCAGCCCGGCAGGAGAAGACCCTCATCTTGTGGGAAACTGGGAAACTGCGATTCGAACTCGGTTCCCTCCTGAGGCTGCTGGATTCCTTCTCTCCCCGGGAGCCAGCGAGCAGGACAGCACTCAGGTGGACTCAGAGAGCTGAGGGAGAGAGCACGCAGGGCCTGGGGCCTCGGAGAATCTCTCCAACTGTGAATTCCGGTGGCCACGCCAGGGACCAGCCAGGATAACCTGCACCCTATGCTTCCCCCTGCTGAGCACTGCTGGGAGCATTCCTGGAGATGCCCTGAGCACTGCAAGATGGAGTCCCGGAGACTCACAGCATTCCTGGGGTGTCCTGGATATCCCCAACACCTCAGGGCCTGAGCAGCCCTGCAGCAAACCGGCCACCCAGCTGGCCAGGAACTGCTGGTGGGGCCTGGCCCACCTGAGCACTGAATGAGAGATGAACAATTTTTTTGGTTTTGTTTTGGGACCACATCAGGTCATGCTCAGGGCTCACTCCTAGCGGGACTCAGTGACCACATGCGGTGCGCGGGATTGGACCCAGGTCAGTTGTGTCAAGGCACGCGCCCTCCCGGCTGTACAATCTCTCTAGCACCCATCACCCCCACCCGTTTTTTTTTAACTTGAAGAGCCTGTGAGAACTGCGGTGGATGAGTATGTGGGTGAGGGAAATGCTCAGGACTGCACACCTTAAAAGTCACTCTTCCACGGCCTGTGACCTCCTAGAGGACCAGAGGATGTGAGCTCCTGACCAGAAATGGGTATTCGACACACACACACACACACACACACACACACACACACACACACACACACACTGCGGGTGGGGGGGGGGGGGGAGAAGGAAAAAAATGTCCCAAATCCTCCACTAGCAGCCTAGCGGCGGGGTCACGTACGGCTTGTGAGAAACGCATTTCATTTTCAAAATCAACACCAGGGGCTCTGAGGAGGAAAGTTCCCCCACTGGCGTCTCTGTAAAGGAGACAGAATGAGACAAAAGAGCAAACACGCCACAGAAGCAACATCGAGGAGGGCGGAGAGGAGAAAGCAGCCGGCCCCAAGTTATTCTCCAGAACCTCAAAGTTCAGAGGCAACGAAAAAGGTTTTTGTGGAATGTGTGTGTGTGTGTGTATGTGTGTGTGTGTGTGTGTGTGTGTGTTGTTCCAAAAAAGACACCTCTAAGACTCAGAGCAATCAACACAGGGAAAGAAAAGCTGCCTAGAAAAAACAACAAAAAAAAGACATTTTTCTGAGCTGACTTTGATCCCGTCCTCAAATTATTGGCTTAAACAAACTCGCTTTGAAAGGCTTTGTCTCTGCCATAACTACTCCCTATTGTCCTTGTTAACAAAGTATTATTTTCACTTTATTATTACTAATCTCTTCTTTGTAAGTAACCACACCTGGTTTTCTCCCCCCTCCCCGCTTCCACCACCACCCAAAAAAGCGGTGCAGTAAATATTTGCCCTTTGTGGTAATACAATGCATAATTTAGTTAATCTGGGCTATCTTTCCGTGCGAGGTGATTGTTTCTGTATTATGAAATGTGTTCGCAGTAAGGTGAAATTCATGCCAGATCCCTGGAAGGCAGGTGGAGAAGCACTTACCCAGCAAGTAGGCGCTCCGACCCGACCCTGCCATGAGCGTGCGGCCACGCCCACACACGGCGTTCTTACTCATGTTAACTTAGCCTGCGAACCATCACCACACCTTTCTTTGACAAACAGGGCCTCGCGCTAAGATAACACGCTCCAGCGCCAGGTGGGAAGGCCCGCCCTCAGCCCCCGGGAACGGGCCCAGGCCCGAGGAAGACCCGGGCTTTCCACGCGGCAGACGGCTTGGCACGACGGGTACATTACCTGGATGAAATCTAGAAAGGTCAGGGGCAGCAAGTCATCCATATGCCCAATGTCTTTGGAGAAACGATTTAAAATTCTTCCTGCAAGAACAGGATATGAAAAATTACTCATTTCCCCAGACAGGCCCTTGAAGAGAAAACAATCCACCCACAAATCAAAACAATATTTTAAATGCATATGTATTTAATATCTTATGCATTCATATGTAATAAGCCCGTGGCAGGGGTAAAAGAATAAGAGACGGTACCTAAGAGAAGCAAAAATACCCGCCAAACAGCAGTGGGCGGAGAGGCTGAAACTTCGCCGTGTGTGTGTGTGTGTGTGTGTGTGTGTGTGTGTGTGTGTGTGTGCGCGTGTGTGTGTGTTTTAATTCAAACTGGGGGAGTGAAAAATAAACCTTGTGACAATACTGATAAGGGCTGGTGAGTGTCAGAATGTCCCCTCCGTTCCATGCAAGTGCTAATAGTGAAACAACTGCAGATGACATCAATTCCTGTTCCCTAATTGGAGGCTAATTAGTACACTAATTTTACTTGAGTTACGTGAAGCGATTCTGCTAAGTGGCACTTTTAAAAACAAATGCAACTGCCTTGACTTTCACCTTGAGCATAGTGGGGGAACTTCGAACCCTCCTTCTCTCCCCCCACCCCCCACGTCATTCCCAGGTTGGGAGTTTGCTCCTAAGGTGACACAATGTTCTTTCGAGGGGTTCCCTCCAATGAGAGAAGCACAGGCCTTGCCACACCGCCAGGAAGGCCGCTGGGGACACCCACCAAGTACTTTGTGAGTCAAGACAGGTCAGGGAGTGCCCAAGTGCCCAGCGAGAAGCTGGTGAGACTAGAAGTTTCCTTGCAGGTCAGGCCAGATGGGATAAAGTTGGGCCTCTGCTTCCTGTCTCAGGCTTAATGAAGAGTGACTGGACACCGCCTCCTTGGGGCACCTCTGACGGGCCTGCTGCTGACCTTCCCATGCCTCTAATGACCCTCGAACCCTTAACAACTGTCTCTTCCAGATGGGGGACTTCTATAGATTCTTGCACCATCTAGTTAATTTTAAACTTCTCAAGTAGCTATTGCAAAAACAGGGGACACACAGCATGTAAGTGTCCGCCCCCGCCCCCCCCACCATGTACATTTACACCCCAAATGTTTTCAGCATCATGAAAATGCTCATGCTTTCTGCAATGAAGAATTCAAAAAAAAATTATTTTTTTCTGCCTGGGGGCTTTGGGAGGAGGCCACACCCAGCCCTGCTCAGAGCTTATTCCTGGCTCTTTGGCAGGGATCACTCCTGATGGTGCTTCTGGAAGGGACCGTATTGGTATCGGGGCTCAAACCTCAGCACAAAGCCAGTGTCTTTACCCACTATACTATCTCTCTGGCCCAAGAACTGCAACTTTTTAAGAGGCAGAGCCCGGCAAGCTACCGAGAGTATTCGATATGCCAAACACAGTAACAACAAAGTCTCCAATGGAGACGTTACTGGGCCCGCTCGAGCAAATCGACGATCAATGGGAGGGCCTTTACCTTTAACTTTACAGCTTTTAAAAGCATCAAGTTGGTTGAAAAGAGAACAACAACAACAACAATAAACTCAAAAAGGAAAGGTAAGGTGACACAGATATGCCCGGATCTGTGAAAACCAGCCCTTTGCTGATTTTTCCAAAGGTGGATTGGGCCTCTGAGGGTTGGGAGGTCTCGCCAAGCGTCGGGTACCAGGGCAAACACAGGCTAAGAAACCTCAATCCTCCACCTCACCGAGTGGGAGGCCCATGATGCTGAAAGCTCCGGGGATGAGGTTACCCCGGAGAGGATGTATCCTGGAAACTCCATAGCCACCCCCCGTGCTCTGGCTCAAAGACCAAGAGGACCCCGGAGCTCGGCAAGAGATACGCCATCAAAGCTGCCATGTCAAATTCCCGGCCTCGGTCTCATAGGGTTATTCTCAAGTTTCTCTGCATCAACCCCTCGGGTGAATTCCCTTCACCCACCTGCCAGGCCCTCTCTCTCATAACCACGCCACGGGATTTGGTCCCTGCCGGATCTCCCTTGGGGCATGAAGGAAATGGCTGGGGGATGGGGGGGTGGGGTTCCCTGGAAACTGGGAAAGCCCAATCTTTTCCTAGATAGCATGGAACTGAATATTTGGGGCTGCACCTGGTGGCAGTCAGAGCTCACTCCTGCTGGTGCTCAGGGGGAACCATATGCAGTATTGGGATCAAACTCAGCCATGTGCAAAGCTGGAGCCTCATCTCTGGCCCCCCAATCTTGCCTTCCTAGGACCTCCTAATCCTTCAAACACTTAAAAGAAGCAAGTTCCAGCCCCATCAGATGTAAACCCTCAGAGGTCATTCATCGCTTTGGTCCACTTCCCTGGCCAGAGCCTTCTGCCCACAGCCAGAAGGCCAGTCCCTGCCAAAGCCTCGTGTCCAGAACTAAAACCAAGTCCCTGTGGATTCTAACAGGCTCAACAAAGGGTGGGGGTGGGTGTACAACAATCATCATCATCACACAGCATGTGAACACCCACCGCCAACCTGTCTTCCCACAGCATGTGTGTCAAGTGTGCCATTGCTGCCCATAGGCGGTGCTGGTGGCCAGACCACACTCTGCACCCCTCCACCTGCAGCCCCCAGGAGGCTGAGGGGGTGGTCAACTGGTGCCACGTAAGGACAGCTTTGACATGCTGTCACCCTCATGTACAACCCATGGCTCACACTTGGATACGGCTTAATTAACACAAATTGCAGCCTCCAAGTCAGCGTGCTAAAGTGTGTAAAGATGGGGAGATACAGTCTGGTGAAAATTTGGGTATGTGGGTTTTGTGGCTGAAATCTCCAGGCGTTCTTGGGGTCGGGATGGGCTACCTCCTCCCACCTCCCTGTCCGTCCAGAGGCCTCGGCAGTCACATCCACACCCCAAAGCTGCCACCCAATTGAAAAGCTACTCCAGCCTTACCATCCCAATAAAAATACTGAATGCCCTGAACAAACACCATGATCTCTTAGCACCTGTACTGCAAACCAGAATGCCAAAAGGAAAAGGAAAGAGAGAGCAAGAAGGAAAGTATCTCACATAGAGGGAGGCTTGGGGTAAGGAGAGTGGGTTTGGGGGATGGTGGTGGGGAAAAGAGGGACACTGATGGTGGGAAATGTACACTGGTGGACGGATGGGTGCTAGATCACTGAATGACTGAAATCCAATTATGAACAGAGCTTTGTAATGGTCTAATCTCATAGACATCCAATTGAAAAAAATTTTTTTAAAGTAATGCAGAGTTCATGCCCTGCTCAATCAGCTTAATCAATGGCTGAATAAATAGCAGTACTCCTACATTAAAAAAAAAAAAAGAAGATGGGGGATAGAGGGTAAAAGCACCCCTGGAGGGTGGGAATGAAACCTGGGGCAGCCACTCTGGGGAAAACAGTATGAAAACTTCTTAAATAAAATGGCTATTACACCTGGCCTGACCATGCCACCGTGAGACACGGGTGCTAAGGACGGGAAGGCACCTGCTGACGAGCTCTTCGCTCCCCCCACACCAAAGCAGCAGTCTTCACAAGGAGGCGAGATGTGGGATCAGCCAAAACATCCATGGACAGGCAGAGAGAGCAGCCGTGCTCCAGATTATCGAGGACACAGCTCTGCCGCTGGACACAAACAAGGGCTGCTCTGGGCAGTGTGGCTGGGGCTAGGCTGATGTGCTCAGGAGACCAAGTCGGGAGTGAGAGACCCTAGCCAGGTGGAAGTCTCACCCCTGTGTGGAACAGGAAGAGCTACAGCAAATACACCAGGAAAAGGCAACAAAGGTCACTCTTAGACGCTGGACCAAGTCTGGTGGCTATGAATGGAAACGGGTGGGCATGGAGGAACAGACAGAGGAGGCTTGTTGGTGCTGGAAAGGGCTGGAACTTTGATTCCTGTACACAGAGGGGGAAAGCTGGCCTGCCATAAAGAATGACCTGTAATTAACCACATGTTCATTAAAAAGAGGGGAGAGGGGCTGGAGTGATAGCACAGAGAGTAGGGCCTTGCACGCGGCCGACCCAGGTTCAGTTCCCAGCATCCCGTATGGTCCCTCGAGCACCGAACTGCAGAGCCAGGAGTAACCCCTGTACATTGCCAAGTGTGACACACACAAAAAAAGGGGGGGAGGGGAAAAGGGATATATATGTGTACATATATATATACACACACACACACACACAGAGAGACACACACACATATATCTTTACATACTCCCAAGTTCCAGGAGTATCTTTCAGGAAGTTAGCAAACATCCTGAAGACATCCATGTCTGCAGAGGGTCTGTCACGCACGGGGGTAATTTTAATTTGCTCTCCTAAGTTAGTATTTTGATAGAGAAAGACTAAGTATGCCCTGTGTAGAGTGGGAAGGAGGGCGGGGTGAGAAGAAGAGAGACAGGGACCACCTCCTCACCCACCCCCGCCGTGTTCTCAGGGAATCATTGGGTTCCACCACTGGCTCGGCCACCATCTTCCCTTGGTCCACAAGCCAGTCCCCGCGACGCAGCCCAAAACTCCCCGTCAAAATGCAGGACCGTGAGGAATCCCACATGGCCCGAGTGAGGTCAGCACTTCACCTATTTGGACACAGTCATCCAAATACATGACTCCTCGGCTTCCTTATAACCAAACTATGATTCAAACCACGAGCTGGACCCTGTTCGCTCTTTGTTAAACACAACAGTGCACGTACACAGCATACTTTTATTTATTAATTTATTTCTGACCTCTTCCCAGTACACAATTCAACAGATTTTAGCAACGTTCTTGAGCAATGCAACCATCATCAAAGACCATCAGTTTTCAGTCATTATTTACACACACACACACACACACACACACACACATGAGATTCCCTCCTACCCTTCCGGAGGACCCTTCATCCCCACCACCACTTCCCAGCTCAGCCTCTTCAACTTCCTTTCTCCCGCAAGGACCCACCACCAGTCACACAAATGCACTGACAGGGTACGTGTTCACTTTGGCTGCCCAATCTCACTTCATTTTTGAGGTTTATCCATCACACCGCCTGTGTATGGAATCCTTGTCTTTGAA